ACTAGGAATCAGTATCTCTGGGGGGAAGAGAACAGGATTGTGTTACAAATGGGACAAATCCACTGCCTTTTCCATTTCCCCCACATAGTGGATAGACTGCTAGACCTCCAGTCAGGAAGAGCTGGGTTCACGCCCTGCCTCCAACATGTGATGATGGGCAAATTAATCTTTCAGTTTTCTCAGCTGCAAATTGGGGATAATAACACTTTAAGTACCTACTTAAAGGTAGGTTTCAGGGTTCTTATGGGGATCAAATTTGATAGTAGATGTAAAGTGCTTAGAAAACCTCAAAGCACTATTATAATAGCTAATAATACTAGCTGTTATTATCCAAGTGATATCAGGTTTGGTTTTTTTTTTTAAGGCTGCCCTTGAAGGGAAAAAGTAAATCATAAGATGGTAATCTGAGGTGGGAGTTGCTAAGCCATTCCCTTCTTCTTCTGCCTTGCGGTAGCAGTGTGTGGGGAGGGGGAGTGGTTGGTGGAATTATATGTTGATGACATATTTTTGAACCTCAGAGCTTTTGGGACCTCTCTTAGTAGGGTCCCCATTCTCTCATCCTGACTGTACTATGAGAGAAGCATCAGGAAATAGGGAGAAGGGCATTGGCCTGAGCATCAGTCAGGAGATGCAGATTTTAATCTAGGCTCTGTTTCCTAACTGTGTGACCTTGAGTCAGTCGCTTCTCTCTGGGCTTTGGCTTCTCCTTCTCCTTCTCCTTCTCCTTCTCCTTTTCCTTCTTCTCCTCCTCCTCCTCCTTCTTCTTTTTTAGTGAGGCCATCAGGGTTAAGGGACTTGCCCAGGGTCACAGCTTTGGTTTCTTCTGTAACAATCAGTCAGTCATTTGTCAGTAAACATTTACTAAGTGCTTACTATGAGCCAGACACTGTGCTAAGGGTTGGAGATACAAAGAAAGGTGAAAGACAGTCCCTGTTCTGAAGGAGAGCACAGTCTGATGGGGGAAATATCGGGGCAAGTCAACGAATATCTCTAGGCCTCAGTTTCCTTACCTGTAAAATGAAGGGGTTCTATCAGATCACCTCTAAGTTTTCTTCTAGCTCTAAACATACAAACAACTATGTTCAAACAAGTAATATGTAGAATAAATTGGGAATAATCAACAGAGGGAAAGTACTAGAATTAAGGGGGAATGGGAAAGGTTTCCTGAAGAAGGTGAGATTTTAGCTGGGACTTGAAGGAAGCCAAGGGAAACCAAGAGGCCTAGATTAGATGTTCTCTAAACAGCCTTCCATTTCAGTTGTTCTATGGATCTGTGATCTCCAGGCCCTAGCCTGATCCCCAAAAAGGGACGTACAGTGTAAAGTAGGGCTTAGACCCATTGATGTTTCATTAGGTTGAGGAGGGGGAGAGAGGGAAAGGGATGAGAGGACAGGGCTATGCAGAAAAGTCCCTTCATTGGAAAGCCCAGCTCTGATGTGAAGGGTCCCAGTTCTGCAGCCTCAGGAAGTTCATAGGTGAATAACTATAACCGACATTTATACATTGTGTTCAAGTTTGCAAAGTACTTTTGTAACAGGTATTTGGCCCATACCCGTTACACTGTACTTACATTCTATCATTTGTTTCACGCAACTCTGTGATGTAGCCACAGTAGATATTATTTTCCTTTTTCTATTAAGCCATCCCAACCACCTTCCCACACAGGGAAGTACTCTAATGTCCCATAAGGAATAACATTACTAAGGGCTGTTACTGGGTATCTAGAGTTATGGTAGGGTAGGATAGGAGTGATTAGTAAGGTTGGGCTAAGGATGGGGACACTTGGACAGCTAAGTGGCACAACAGATAGATAGAGTACCAGGCCTGGAGTTTGGAAGACTTGAGTTCAAATCTGGCTTCAAAAATTACTAGCTGTGTGACCTTGGGCAAGTCACTTAACCTCTGTCTCTATTTACTCATCTATATAATGGAGATAATAATACCTTGTAGGGTTGTTATTAGGATCAAATGAGATAATTATAAAGCCCTTGGCACATAGCACTATATAAATGTTAGCTGTAGATTATGATTATTGATTATGATTGGGGGGCAGCTAGGTGGCACGGTGGATAGAGTGCTGGGTCTGGAGTAAGGAAGACTTGTCTTCCTGAGTTCAAATCCGGCCTCAGACACTTACTAGCTGTGTGACCCTGGACAAGTCGTGTAACCCTGTTTGCCACAGTTTCTAAATCTGTAAAATGAGCTGGAGAAGGAAATTGCAAACTACTTCAGTATCTTTGCCAAGTAAACCCCAAGTGGGGTCATGAAGAGCCAGACATGACTGAAAAAAGACCCACATTAATTATGATTATTATTACAGAAGTGTGGGATAGGGAATGGTTTAACTTTGGGAGATTTGAGGTTGCTTCTTTTGTGGAGGGGCAGCCAGATCAGTCCCATTCCCTCAATTTAACTCTTTAATTCCTTGTTTACCACACCTTGTCCCTGAAGTATGACCCTGTGGGTGCCTCTGATTTGTGACTAAGTAACAGTGTGTATGTGTGTATGTGTGTGTGTGTCTATGTGCTTCTGTATGTATTATATACATGTATATGTGTATAGCCCCTACTGGTCTGCAAATAAGCCACTCCTGAATAAGGCTGAACTCCTAAAATTAGATTCCTTTGAAAGCAGGCTAATATATAGAGATAGATAATTATATATATATTCATATATATATATACACATATTATATACATATATTAATATATATACACATATATACATACATACATACATATATACTTAAGCAATCAATCAACAAGCATTTATTAAGAGCCTACTATGAAGAAAAGTAAAAAGATTGTTCTTGCCCCCAGGGAGCTTACATTTCAATGGAGGTAACAACCTGGAAAAAAAATTGTACATACAGATATATACGGGGCAAATGAAAGGTAATCTCAGAGGGAAGACACTGTGTGGGCATAAGGGGATAGGAGATGAGACCCAGGATTAAGGGGTTAGAAGGGTAGAAGGTGGGATTTGAGCTGAGTCTTGGAGGAAGCCAGAGGGAGAGACAAGGAGGAAAACAATTCCAGGCCTAGGGGACAGCTGGTGAAAAGGCCTGGAACCAGGAGATAGAGTGTCTTGTGGATAGAGGAAAAGCAAGAATGCCAGTGCCACTGAGTTGGAGAGGACATGATGGAAGGGAATAAAATACTAGAAGACTAAAAAAATCGTTGCTGTTCATCCTTTATTTTCAAAGAGAATCAATAACATCATGGGTGTTGTCTTGACTTATGCTTGAATAGTTTAAGTGAGGCAGAGCTGCACAAGGTCATCAGCCTCACTTTCTCTTCCACAGTCATCAAAGTCCAGTGGCAAGACAAAAGTCAGGATGACTAGCGATGGCCTGGGATGCAGTGGCTGACTTTGACATCTTCAACATCTGGCCAAGCTCTAAGCACTCCACAATACCCTGCTTCAGCTGCCTTCATGGATATTGGAACAAATTGTTCTCATCTGCCCATTCTGCCAGAGAAAGTCTTCTCACACTTGGAGTAGACGCTTTCCCCGTCAACTAATTCATGGATTGGTTTGAGGCCCATTGATTACTCTCAACCTGGTTTAGCCTGTCTGCTGAGACAGTTTACTGGAGTGTGATCCTGCACATACTACAGCTCCTTGGAGCCACAGGTAGGAAGGAGGTAGATTGTGAAGGGCTTTAAAAGCCAGAGGATTTTCTATTTGATCCTGGATGTGATAGGGAACCACTAGAGTAGAGTTTCCTGAAGAGCGGGGGTGACATAGAAACTCAAGGGTGGATGATTCACCAATGCGAATACTTTCGTCCAGTCTAGATCCCAGTCCTTCCAGGCCTCTTCATGAGTTCCAGTGTCTCAAAAAATCATTCACCTGGTGGTGGCCAGTTTTCGGAAGAGAAGCTTCTTACTTGAGGCTAGGTAAAAATCAATTAGACTATGCCTCAAGCGACAGATGTACCTGTCCAGAAACTTTGACTAGAAACCTAGAGCAGCATGTGCTAGGAGATAGGACGCTGGGCTTGGAGTCAGAGGAGTTGGGTTGAAACTCTGTGTCTGTTACTTAATAGCTGTGTGCTCCCAGGAAGTCACCTAACCCCTCTGAGCCTTAGTTTTGTTTCCTTTTGTTTTTTCAATCTGTAAAATGAAAGGGTTCTATTAGATGGCCTCTAAGGTCCCTTTCAACAGTGTCAGTCTATGATCCTTTCCAGATAGGAAGTTGTTAGCTGAGCTTGAGCTCCCCTGGCCTAGGCTTTGAGAATACAAACTCATCTCCACATTGTGATTCAGCATCAGAGAAAGACTTTGAAGGAAGATATAGGAAAATACTGAATTTTAATGCCATAGGTTTGAATAATTATCTTAAATAATGATAGGAACTGGAACTGTGATTTCACTGATACAGACATCTCCTGGATGAAGAAACTCCCTTTATCAATGTAGTTTAGCACCTTTTTTGTGACTCATAATCTTAGACAGTTGCCTAGGGCCCTGAAAGGTTAAGGTGACTTGTATAGGGTCACACAGCCCTTATGTGTCAGAGGTGGCACTTGGACCCAGGTCTTCCTGACTCAAAGGCCAGATTTGTGCTGAGTTTGTTCTGATGACACCTGACCAGGTGTCCATTGAATGTGGACATCGTATGTGGGGCAAGGTTGCACTTTCAGACAGGTGAGACCTATTGTGTTGGGTTCACTGTCTATTAGTAAAACTATATGATGCGTAGAAAAAATAAGGCTCCTAAATGTAGGTTTGTATTGGAAAGGTCAAAAAGTACCTGAAGAAAAATCAGTGCCATTTTGTTGACTTAAAACCAGTTTCCTCCATTTTCCAATTTTTAAGTATACACTGAAAAATTATCATGCAAATTCACCTTACTTAAACAATATCTCTGTGAAAAATTTAAAAAAAATTTACATTCAAATAAAAGGTTCTATTCATTTCATTGATCTGCAGATGGCCGAGATGAAAAGGAGGGCTCATGAAAATGAATAAAGCCACAAGTGCAGTTATGCCTACCTAGATTTCCTACAAGCCAAATTCTGGAGAAAAGCAGAATTGGCATTCTGACCATGGTGGTACTTCATTGTGTGATTGCATGTGTCTTTGTATGAGTATGTGCTTGACCGTACGTCTCTATGTATATATGGGAGATTGTGTCCCTAATCCAGATGCTCCGGGTTTTCGCATGAGCTAATCTGGATCATGACATTCTAGGTATAGAGGGTTCCTTAAACTATATTTGAGACCCCACAACTCCAGGCAGTGAAGCTGAGGAAAAAGGGCTGATCTAGGCCTGTGGACAAGAGTTATGCTCGCCTCTGTCTTTTTCACTTATTTATTTATTCATTCATTCATACAAAGAAACATATATTAAGTGCCTACTACGTGTAAGGCACTCTATCCTCACTTGGAATCCTCATTAGCTTGGTTATATGCCCAACAGAAGTTCCTCTTCACTCATCTTCCTTCCCTTCAGCATTGCACATTCATAGGATCGTAGACTCTTAGAGCTGGGAAGGAATGTAAGAAATTTTGTGATCCAACCCCTTCATTATACAGATGAATAAACTGAGGCCCAGAGAGAGAGATCCTCTTGTCTAAGGAAACATAGGTACTAAATAGCAGAGCTAAGATTTGAACTCATGTTTCTTTCCCAATGCTTAGCACAGTGACTGGCAGGCAGCAGGTACTTAATAAAGGCTAAGGGCCCTAAGCGAGGATAGGAAAGGGTCCTATGAGGAAGCTTAGAACCCAGGTTGCAGTGGAAAGACTTACATGAACTAATGTTGAACCAAAGTGAGCAGAACCAGGAGAACATTGTATACAGTAAAAGCAACATTTTTCGATGATCAACTATATGATAGACTTAGCTCTTCTCAGCAATACAATGATCTAAGACAATTCCAAAAGACTCATGATGGAAAATGTTATCCACATCCAGAGAAAAAACTATGGAGTCTGAATTCAGATTGAAGTATACTTTTTCATTTTTTTTTTTGGTTTGTTTTTCGTGGCTTTTACT